CATTTAAGATGAAGGATATGGGGGAGTCGAAGAGAATATTAGACATGAAGATTCATAGAGATTTTGAACAGAAGAGATAATGGTAGTGTCACGGCAAGTATGTTTGTCGTATATTTGACAGGTTCAACATGGTCGATTACAAAGGAGTATGGACTTCTTTGACATCACATTTCAAACTCTCCGCAACTCAATATCCTACCGATGCTGTGAAGGAAGGAAGAATATCATGTGTTTCCTATAAACAAGCCGTAGGCAACCTCATGTATTTGATGGTGTGCACTAGGCCGGACATTGCTTCTGCGATGGGAAAGGTGAGGAGGTACATGTCGAATCCAAGAAAAGTTCATTGGCAAGCAGTGAAATGGATTATGAGATATTTGAAGAGTACTTTGGATTATGCTTATTGTTTGATGATCTATTAGACAATGCCAAATCCTTGTTTGATTTTGTTGATGTTGACTACGGATAGGATCTAGATAAAAGAAGATCTACAATTGGATATGTGTTAGCGCACTTTATGCGCGATTTGTAGCATGGTTTATGCGCGGTTTTGGTCACAGCGCGGTTTGCAGCGTACTTAGCGCGGTTTCTGCACGGTTCGTAGTGTGATTTAGATCAGACGTGATAGAGGCTAAACGTGTTAGATGTGTACGTGATTGGCATGGACGCAATCGGTGAAGACAAACATGGTTAGACTTAATGTGGTTGCAGTCATAATTGATGTTGCAGTCATGGTCGGGTCGACTATGGTTACAGTCAACATCGTGATTGAGCGTAACCTGATTGCAGTCGTGATCAGAGATCAAACGTAGTCAGCGAGTCAACCGTGTTTGGCAGCGCAACACAGTCAACCGCTGATCGAAGGTGACGGTGACGGCGGAAATCAACATCGAAGGTATAATATGTCATAAATATTTCTTAGAAATATATCTTCATCAAAATATGGCAAATTGGGTATCATTGGAAAGCTCTCGGCGCAAATAATGCATCTAGACATTTCTTAGGAGCTGAACAATGACTCAAAAAAGGAGGAAATTGACTTGAAAACTCCCATTTTCTCTACTTTTCTATATGCAAAGTTGGCAAGACGACATTGGTCACGAGCGACAATGATTGCGGATGACAGATGATAGTCGGGGGCGACATTGATCAAGTGCAACGGTGATCGCGGATGACGAATGATAGACGTGGGCAAGATGATTACGGACAACATTAGTCATGGGCGATAGTGGTTGCGGGTGACGTTGGCTACTTGCGGGCGTAGTAAGTCATGAACGACGATCAAAATAAATCACAGGCGACAATGAGTCGCAGGCTTAGTAAGGCGTGAGCACAGTCAGTCGCGGGCGACAGTGAAGGCTAGTTGCGGGCAACAGTGAGAGATAGTCACACATGAAAATCAGTTCCGGGCGCAGTTAGTCGCGGGCAACTGTGAGAGTTAGTCACAAGTGATAGTTAGTTACATGCGCAATCAGTCGCGGATAATAGTGAAGGTTAGTCGCGGGCTACAGTGAGGGATAGTCATAGGTGACAGTTAGACGCGAGCAACATAGATTGTGAGGTTCATGTCAATGGATGTGTGTCTTTCAATGAATATTGCTCATTGAAAGAAAGGGAGTATTCTCATGATTATTAAATTGACAAGTGAAAAATTTTGGTCACGAATATAGGTATGAAGAAGTTTTGATCATTATGTAATTAATGATCAAGATAAGCATCTGTATGTAATTGTGGGGGAGTTTGATCATATGTGATTAATGATCAAGATGTGCACAGTACAAGTTATTTACAATATTGTGAAGCACAACGATATCAAATATTTTATCAGACAAGACTGTCTGATAAAATAATTGAATTAGTCAAGATGGATGGTAAACTTTGGTGATTGACCTAGTCAATCTTGACCGTAAATTTTGATGATTGAGCTAGTCAAGATTGACGATAGACTCTGGTAATTGAGCTAGTCAATCTTGACGATAAACTCTAATGATTGAACTAGTCAATCTTGACGGTAAACTCTTATGATTGAATTAGTCAATCTTGACAGTAAACTCTTACGATTGAGCTAATCAAGATAGATGGTAAATTTAATCCAGCTGAAGCATTGGTCAAAGTTATTTCTATAGAGAGTTTCAGTCAACACTGTGATATCATGCAAATTGAACATAAGGAGTAGAGTTAGAGTTTGCTAACATAGTATCTTCAGTTATCTCTTTATATGTGATGGTATCGTCATAGTTCTAGTTAACTCTCGTGTAAAGAGAGACATTATGTTAGTTTTCTATCTAGAACTTCCCGCGAAGTAATAACGTATGTTATAGAGGATAATGTTCCTTAAAGTGAGTTAAGGAAAAGATTGTTGAGGTTAATTTCAGTTAAGGAGTAACCTCGGGCCCTAGCTATTTATAGCTAGGACGGTCTCCTGGATTGGGGATAAATACCTTGGAGTTCTCCATGCATAGTGTGTTTTTCTGTAAGAAATCTGAAGTAAAGTGAAGAGTGTTCTTGGTGAACGTAGCACTTTTCACCGAGGGTGAACCACGATAAATATGTCTCACGAGTGTTTAATGTTTTCTTGGTTTTACCGTTCATAAAGAATATATTTTTTTCTTTCTGTATGCATAACTTTATATGTTTCAAGGTCTTGGTTAGAATTTTTTACATGATTTTTATCTTATCTAACAAATCATTACATGTAAATACAAAATGAAATATTATTAAAAAATAAATTTTGAATTAATTTATTCCAAAATATTAGAGATAAATCTTAACCGCTGTTCAATGCAAGATATAGCAATATTTTAGATTCCAAAGTTATCAATTTATCGTACCTCACATACCGTATTATTTTCCGCATTCCAAATGAACATTAGATCATGCCAAGAATTGTTGCATATAAGCGAAACCGTGATATTACGTGCTATGCTTACAAACATAAATTCAAATGATCTATTCTCATTACTTCAATGATCAATCAAGGTGCTTTTAACATCTAATGTAATTATCAAATAAATTGTTACCTTACACCTTCAAAGTAATGCAGGTCGTGTGTGTAGAAGTGAACTGCTTTAGGATGAAATGAAGATTTCCTGGCGCACTAGTGTGCGATAATAGTTTTTGTTAGCGCCATCCAGTGTGTAGAAAGGAAAAGTGAAGCGCACAAGTATAAATTACCCTCTTGGATTTTTTTCTTTTAAATCCACATAGATCTAATGGTCCTGATGTAATGGCTATGCCATCAAGTTTTCGCAGTCCCTTACTTCAATACACCTCTTACAAGATAGACCTATCTCCAGAAATCCCCAATTTAGAAGTATACTTCCTCATCGTAATGGGGATTGAACAATACTCGTCCAGACCATTTCCACGATCTTAGTATTCTTTTCTTATGTACAAGTCTGGTATTGCATCCTCCATCAACATGAAGAACATAGTGCAAAATTTGATGGAACTGAGAAAAAAAAGATAGATATTTGAGGCCAGTCAAGCTTTAATTTGCCCTTGGGCTGCATGAATATGGAGTCGTCAAAAGCTGCAATCACCTTGTCGGCTCCTATGAGCCATAGCTAAAGACACTCTCTCCTTCATTATTTTACAGCTAACTTGTGATGTGTCTATTTAATGCCAAAACATTCAAGTTCAATGCTGGTGCTTATGAACCTTATCCTCCTTGTCAATTCACGACCATATTAAACCTTTGTGAGCTTCAAAAGAATCAATCTTAGTATTCATGTCTTGCACAGCATATTTTGCCATGCGAGAACTCTTGCACTTGCCCTCAAGGAAACGATAGTAGAAGTAGATCTCTAAAGGGTTTGTTCACTTCCTTGGCTTGTGGTAATTTTGTGTGAGGCATTATTCGGCCTACTTTTTGTGAAAGTCAAATTCCAAATGTCAAGGCGAAGATGAGTTCGAAGACATGGCGGAAGTGGACGAGGAAGTGGACGAGGTCTAGACAAAGGCAGCTCCAGTTTTCTTGATGGCTCGGTTCAACGAGCTTCGAATCTCGTCATTGACTAAGACGGGTAGACGATATTAAAAATTAAGTCTTCTAAAATGTCAGTAACAAGCGAAACCGCACAATTTACTGTGAGAGCAATCGATCTTGTCCAAGGAATGAACTTATGGGCCCCATTATTGATAACTGCTTGTAGTGGACCTTCACCGTTACGCAGATTTCGATGCTCGGTAACGATGTATTCATATAGAAAATTTCGATTCAAGTTGTAGATGTAGATCCATGCAACTTGTCAGCAACTAGACGAAATCGTCATGTTGACAATTTCGTCTGCCAAGGAGAACAGGTTTTATTGTAGAATAGTTAACATTCTTTTCTGATATTATGTTCCTAATTGATACTTCCGGCCACCGAATGGGCCTTTAAAAATCTCACGAGCTCAAAAAACGGGAACACCTGAATTTCAGTGAGAGTAAACGTATTTCATCCCTGGAGAAGGGGATTTCTTCACTCTGGTTTCAGTTGACGAAGTCCATTGATGCGACTGCTGTAGCTTGAGGGGTCTCAAAAACTTGTAACGGTTGGATGCCGTTGAAAACTATGTTCCAAACTACTTTCTGATCAGTGGAAAGATCAGTAGCCGATCTCGGATCTAGACTATAATTCAACATGGATGCCGGGAGAGAGGAGCTAACCCCACGAGTTCGTGCAAGTCCCACAGTCCGTAGAATGAATGCATCATGTGCCACGACTTAGACGACTTGGCAGACTTGGCTTCAGGTGTCTTCAGAGTTCCATGAATCTCTATGATGTGCTCTTCTCCCAAAGGTGGCGAATCTATCAGAACCAAATCGCCATCAACTCATATGTAGGGTACGAACATGCAGTCCGAAACTTCAGGGCTGGTGCCACAAGGCAGCAAACAATCTAATATCTATCTCGGCAACATCTTCACACTTCAGGTTCATCTGCTGTCCTGAAAAAAATTTAAAAGAATGTGGAAGCAAACCAAAGCTCTGGTCTCGTCAGCCGGGTCCGTGATATAATACATGTTCCTGTGTAGGAGATTTCATTCACTTGATAAATACACATGAATCTTACAATGAGGGTCTCTTACAGCTGCTTGCAGACAGCGCCGGCTCCGTGTTCCTACTCACTTGTCCACACTTGCCTCTGTGTCCCTCGCCTTCGTGCCGTTAGAAATGACTGGGTCAATTGATCTACATTCGGCTCTTCAATGTAAAACTTGTGGAATACATGGGGTCCATCCTTTACTCAACTTGGAGGGAAAACTTTGGAAGCCATTATGTGCTGAAAGTGGGGAAATATTTCTGTAAAACGAATCGACCATCCTTTCAGCTACTCATGTAAGAGGCTCCTATTCTACTGTTGACAGATTGTGCTAGATAGTGACCTCCTCAAAGACCATAAGCAAAATGCGTAACGATGGTCTGATGATTAACTCTCTACGTGTGTTCTAATCCGCCTCTATCCCCTACCTTAAAAATGAAAGAAGAGCTCACATCTCTGTGTGTGTGACAGAGGCTCCCCTAACTGAATCAATTGCGTGAAGAACGCTTTCCAACGAACATCTCCTCCCTAAAAGCTGCAAGTTTCTCATTCCGGACATCAATCGGCTGGGGAATCTCCTCGACAAGGTTTCCGTATTTCTCCACCATGTCTTGAAAATCAGCTTGTCTGATAGTTCGATCCTCGACCAGACGATCAACAAGAGCGTTGACAAGGTCCTTGTTTTGCTCCAGAATCTGCAGACCACAAGTGCACAAATCCTTGAAACTTCCTGGACAAAGTTTTCAAACTGTACTGTGGCTTCACATGTTATGAGAGTCTGTTTGATCACATGCATCAATTCTTACTGACACCCCACTATAACCTCTATCGAAAAACATAGCATGCGCGAAGACATATTCTCTAGCATTTGTTTGGAAGTACTATCAAGTTCAAACGTAGAAACTTTAGAACCATCTCAAGATCTGAAACTTAGCCAGACATGTATTTTCATCGTGTCCAAAATATGTAGGGAATTGTGAGCCTCTTTTTTTTATAAAGTGAGTGCTCTAGAGACAAACCTCTAATGCCCGTTTGTAGCAGCTGTTGACTATTTTCAACGCCTCGACATCTACAGCCTGTGATTGACAACAGAAAAAACATTAGCTCCAAAAATGTCTGCAATCGAAGTATTCGTGAAAAAAAGCCCAGCTCGATTTTAACTTTAGTGCAGGTGTACATTCATATTCACCGCAAGAAGGTGTTCACTTCCCACAAATCAAGTCCTGCAAAACACTTTAAGAATCCCTTTACCAAGTTATCAAATACAATATTTTCGATAGGTTTCTAGTAAGATCCAAATGTGAAGAGAAAAAACGGCAGTCTACAATGCCGAGTGGGCAGCGCAAGAAAGTGACATACTTTAGCATAACAGATGTACAAATTCCTCGGTGACACAGTGTGAACAATGGCGTCAACAAGTTGACATATTCTCCTCCATAAAAATACATTATTTTCGTGAGTGAGGATTTGTATAACTATTAGTTGTTTCAGTAAGAGAGAACTATAAACAACATGACGTCTCTAGAGGCCACCTCTCAAAGTGCATTTCTTTAGGTAGACCTCGGAGAAGTGAAGCAGAGATAAAGTTTGAAATTCAATCGGCCGACCGCCAAAAGCCAGGACGTATTCCAGAAAGCATCGACTTCCAGAGGATCGATGAACTTACATAAACTTGGTCAATTTCGTTCCAGCAGTCAAAAAGCCCATACAAATCCTTTCGGTCTGACAGTCCTGCGTACACGAAGTCTCGAGCCGCACTCCTCGCTTGGTCAACAGTGTCGGCCCAAATCGTGCTCATCTGCAGTTGAACTGTTGTGTCAGCCTCGATTTTCATCCGTTACTTTGAGTACTGATTACTGCTGTGAAAAGGCAATACTTCAAAACAAATTCGCACACTTGAGGTTTTCAGTCAAGGCTTGGAAACTCTAGAGCAAACTTACATTGTCAGCTCCATTCCAAAGCTCGTCCGCCGCACGAGGTGACAACTGGACAGTGATATAATCAAGCATTCCTTGACGCCTGCAGACGAAGATATTGTTTGTAAATGAGTAAAAGAGTCTCGTCAACTGGACTCACTGATGGAAATATAAAAAAGCTCCACCCACAGTAAAAGCGTGCGTAAGAACTGTGGGTTGATGTAAGTCCTGTGACTATCCCTATTGCTACTTAAAAAAATAAATGTAAAGCAGAATGACCACAATCTGCAAAGTGTTGAGTCTATTTACTCACCCAATAGATTGCAGGTCAAACTTAGTGTGATCAGGTCGAAAACGAACTGCTCCTTTCTCCTCACCCATCCTCGGTACAATAGTCAGCTGCAGAGTGCCGTGAAAGAGCTTTCTTGATCAAAATCTTGTGATTCACGTTTTCTATCGAGAAACAAGACATTTCAACAGAAATCCTGATCACAACCAAGACAGTAAACTCAAACTCATCCGTATTTGTATATATGATATTATACGAAGACAGTCGGAGTGAAGAAGTATAATACCAACTGAATTTGCTTGAACTCTGGAAAATTGACAGCACAAGTCGCCATGGATGCCTCGTTAAGAGCTAACATCTTTAGCAACTTGGTGCTTCGGGGACGAGGGTCTGGGTGACCACCCTCTTCCAACTGCGCAGCCTCCAGCAGGTCATCCGTTGTGATCTACAAAAAACCAAGTCCTCTAGTCTTGTGATCTTCGCCTTTTGGAGTTGGACTTTCATCACTAAGGACAATAGAGTCGATAAATCTCATGCTTGAAATAGTTGCTGTGTTGTGTCTCACCTCATTGCGACTATCACGAAGCACAGATAAGGCTGCCACATCTAGGATATTCGCAAGCTGGGCGCCTACCATACCGTCTGTCATCTCAGCTACTGCACCGTAGTCTACTTCCTCAGCCATGGGCTTATTTCTTGCATGAACCTGCAACAGATATTACCTTCTCTAGGTTAGACCCGTTGGAGCAAAATCCTTACACCGTGAACTCAAGACACAACTTTAGCGTTTTATAGATAGATGGTCGAAATTGGAGAACGTTTACTCGATATTGAACGTACCTTCAGAATCTCTGCACGACCTTTCGTTCCTGGTTTTGGGATGAAGATTTTTCTATCGAATCGACCTGGTCTGACTAAAGCAGAGTCAAGAATATCAGGTCTGTTCGTAGCAGCGATTGTAATGACTTCCCCTCTTCCTTCGAATCCATCCAAGCAGGTCAAGAGCTGCACGGAATTTGGATGTTCAGTCACTTAAACCAGAAATTAAGAATAACCTGATGAGCTTGTGATTCCAACATATTTTACCTGATTCAAGGTTGAGTCACGCTCTTGTCCTCCAGATCCTCCAATCAGACCTCTTTGCCTGCCGACAGCATCCAACTCATCTATGAAGACAACAGCCGGAGCCTGCAAGAATAAGAGCAAGTGCATCAGAAACCCTAATGACTCATAGACAGTTCTCAGAAGGAACTCTGAGGATCAAGCAATATTAGCATATGTCGGCACAAACTACTGCCGAAACATCAAGCGTACGTGTCCTGAAACTATTCAAGCTTGGAAAAACATATTAAAAATATCTAGTCGAAAGAATTTCCTGATTGCCTACAAGTGAGATTCAACTCCAAATTGTAGTTCTTGTTCCCCTAAAGTCGATGGAGTTCCTAGATCCTATACAACAATACAGCATAGTCCAACATAAAAGAAAAAGATCTGATAAAATTGCTGAGCACTGTTACAGAACAAGTAGGAACGATGATACGTTGAGCAAAAGCCGAAAAAACTTACGTTGTCCCTTGCTTCGTTGTAAAGAGCCCGAACACGTGATGCACCCACTCCAACATAAATCTCCACAAACTGAGAGGCTGATATAGAAAAAAAGTTTACACCAGCCTCTCCGGCAACAGCTTTGGCAAGTAAAGTCTTCCCCGTTCCTGGCTCTCCACAGAGCAAGATACCAGCTGCAGAAAATGATGCGGGTTCTCATTTGTAAGTATCATACTCTGAACTTTTAAACAACGAGTTCTACGAAGCCGACAGCTATGTAAAGAGTACACCGGAGCATTCGACCGGATCATAATCCAGCTTCCGGGTTAGCACGTGCAACAATGGTCCGTCTGATATCCTCACAGTCTGGGCAGAAGTATCCTCCTGTGCTGTTTACGGAAGCTCAATCAAGACAAAACTCACCGGGAATTCTGCTACCACGTCTTCTGTACTTCTCCCCGAACGTAAAGAAGTCAACAATCTCTTCCAACTCCTTACGAATATCCCCTAGCCCGGCAACATCTGCGAATTTGATGTCCGCATCCAGATCCAGATACTGAGGTGGCTTACGACCCTTGGCTCTTCGGGCCGTTGCACCAGAACGCATAAATCTCAAACCGAGCTTCAGCTGTGGATTGTTCTCCACCTCCTCAATTCTTTTCTTTTCTTCATCGCTCATACCCTCCTTGCCCCAATCCTTGGTAGTTGACACGGCTTCAAAAGTCTCCATCTCTTGCTCCCACTCCCTCATTTTTTTCCTCTCCTCCTCCTCTGACTGTTCAATTTTCAACCTGTCCTCGTAATCTTGCTTTCGTTTCTTCACACCAACAACGATAGTCAGATAAAATAACCAAAAGAAGAATATACCCATCAAAAAGCGAAACCCCTCGTTGCGAGAAGCATTGTACCAAAAGTTACTCCATTCTTCTCTACTCTGGACCTGTTGAGCTAATTTCAGTTCCAGTTCCGCTTGCTCATCTAAAGCCATTCTCTCCTTCCTCTCGCTCTCCTGCATGCCAGCGAATTTGGAACTTGCATACTTTCTCTCCCGAGCCCTACGCTTCGCCTCGTCCTTGGCTAAACGCTCTTTCTCTCGACGGGCTTCTAGAACCTGTTTGCGTTCCCTCTCCAGCTGCTCAAGACGAGCCCGGGCAGCACTTTTCTTTGTGATCGGTGCTTTCGTCCTCTTTTTTTCCACGCTCAGATTTCTGATCCAGGTTGCAACACCACTAAACCCTCGAAGCGAAGGCCCTTTCAGAGCCCAATCCTCAACCACTGGACCGGGCAAGGGCGGCGAATAAGCATCAATAACATCGTCTGCGAGTTTGAGCTCGTCCCACATATTCCAAAACTTGACGTCTCTTTCGGAAGCTGGTAAAACCGTTCTCACAACGCGGTCATCGCTCATGATGACCAGAACTCTATCGGGGATGGATTTCAAATTCGTCAAAGGATGCTTCACAATGTGCTTCACTTTTCCTTCTTCTTTTAATCTGAGCAATTCAGAGTAAGGAATCTGCTCGCGCACTAAAGGCAAATCCTTGGTCCACTCTTTTCTTTCCTCCAAGGACATGGTCGGCACAGCCTTCGGGGCCTTAGCGGCCTTGCTTTTCTTCTTCGTCGCGCCCCCTGCTGCAGCAGCATTCGCGGACGCGGTAAATGCAGGAATGGCAAAACCCAATGCGGTGACTGCCAAAACTAAACCTGCAAAATTCACAGAGGATTCCACGTCTACCACCTGCCCTGCGCCTCCGCACATCCTCTCCCTCTCCCTCTCCTTCTCATCCTCCTCCTCCTCCACTCCCTCGCTCTCTGTCGCGCAATTTACAACCCCTGCCCCAATTTTATCACCAGAAGAACAATTCCTCCGCCTCGGAGCGATTCCCGACCGGAGCCATTGCAAGTCGGTTCTCCACTTGGCGCTTTCAAAACTGGACCTTCGTCCGGCTCTGGAAATGAGCAATTCCCGAATTCTCCTGGACACCACGACATTCACACCGCGCGGTCCCAGAGGGACCAGCAATCCGGCGCTGCAAGCTCCAGAAATCGCTAGGCTGGAGGCATGCGTCAAGCTGATTCCCCCAGCCATAGCTTCTCCCTCGCTGGCAGCAGAGCGAGAGATTGCACATGTGTTGAGTCGAAATTTGGCCCTCGGACTCCTCCGGCCAGACTCCGATTCCAGGCACTGCTGCCTTAAACCCTAGAGATGCGGGACGGGTCCTCTCCCCGCTTCCTCGCGCTCGATTTCCCTCTGAGCTGCGGTCTTATCGAGTGAGTGCCAAGCGATAAGCGTCGTTGTGCTCGTCGGAGGGGATTCGAACGCCCGGCACACCTTCGGCTTCGGGTTCCCTGCTCGCGCATTCAGATAAAGCGCATTCATTTGCTCGCCGTTGCCCGTCTTACGTGTCCTCGCCACGTGGCTGCTGCGCTCTGCCCGCCACGTCCTCCGAGTCCACCTTCAGACGTTTATCTCGTTTTCCTTCCATTTTTATTGCAGCCTTCATTTCGCTGGTTGAGTCTTCGTTTTGAATATTCGCGAGCCTTGTTCTTAGGACATCGTGAGCCGTGGCCTCCTTTGCTGTCTGGTTTGGTTTTTATTTTCTATTTTAGTTTAGAATATGGGTTGCTTTAGATTTATCGACTCAACGTTACTTTCTTAAGTCTACTCACTTAATTTTTTGAGACATAAATTTCATACCGTACAATGAATGGGTGCAAAATAGTTAAAAAATCAATAATTTAACGTATTCTTGAACTTTCTTTCAAAGTAACTTCACACATAACTGTATATGTTCCAACTAGGGTTATGTGTTGGAACTTCCAACACATAATTTTGAATGTATTAAATATTGATAACGTGTATAAGTTATTTATTAAAGTTCTTTTTTTTTTGGCTATTGATCCAGCTTCTGATCTCAAGATTGTGGTTCCCAATGATTTCAACTATTTCAATATTCCTACTTGTTAGTATTTTTTATGTCATAAATTGTGAATATTCAGCGATTTGTGCATTTTTAACTATATTTATTGTTTTAGCACATTTATCAAGTGACGTTTACGTATGCTCAACATTTTTGCTCACAAAATACCTTAGAAGGTGCCTTTGAGTCTTGGCAAGACCAAGAGGTAGTTGAGGTTCAGCCTGTACTTGGAGGTTTTGGCATATTTGGCTACACGTATGGTAGGGATTGCATGCCGAGCTCAACTCTTACGGTGAGAAGTGGGCATGACAATCATCTGAGGAAGTTTCGCATGCCCTGCCTACCTCAATCTCTCGCTAATACTTTAGCATCACATGTATTCAAGTATTCAAAATCTCGTCGAGACTCAGCCCAAGGATGAGCATTCGAGCCGTGACGTGACTCTGACACGACCAACATATCTGCAACATAACATATGCGGTATGTAGTGCTCGTCTTTATGTACATCGAAAGTGAATGATTTTTCCTCGCTATGGCAAGTTTTCTTTAAGGAACACGATATTAACGATTGTAGTGATCTACGACGAGATTACATTCTGAATGCTTCAACTACAGTTGACACGTACAGTAAACAATCCGTGACATGGTACAATTTACACTCAAACTGACAGTTTGACACAAACGTAGTTTTATCTTCAGAAGCGTGAATCAGGATGGCATACTGTGCTGATTTGGAAAAGCAAGCACTCCTCTACAGAAAATAACTAGTTACAATATAGAGGTGTAGAAATGAACAATCAGGATGAGCATGTCATACGTATCTGACAGATTACAATTAGATACACATCGTCAAAAAGCAGAGTAAAAATTAAATCATGGTGATGATCATTGTCATAAGCAGCGGATCTTTGGCTAGAATATATACTTTTATAAAGGAAGACAAGTAAAGATGCAATCTAAAATTTGGCATCTCGGGAGAAAAGATAAGAATACTGATTTTCACTAAGCTTCAGAGAACTATCCTCAACAAGACAGCCCGTCCACGGAGCAACTTACGCGCATTTCTACAGATTCCAATGATTTAGTCTTCCTGAAATTGGCTAGTGGCTCCAGGAAAATTATTGCAGAAATTTATGCAGTCCCGTCTCCTCCTTTTCAAACTGGATGCTCGTTTGATGTGTCATATTCCTATCACCCACTGATTATCTCAATACAAGAAGTGTCTCATCAACGCCATAAATTAATTATCTTGTATGCTATCCAAGCCTGATCTGCAAACTGACAAGCTTCTCACTTAGTAAACATTTTTCTCTTCTTCAGAATTTCGACCAACGGAGAAATTTTCGTTTTGATTTGAATTTTAAGGCGTGCACCAGTGGCCGACAAAACTTCCAGTTCTCTTTAGTCCTCAAGATTGCACATTATTTGTGTAGATATTGTAAGGAAAACAACATCTACTTCCAGATCAGGCCTGTTTTGGGAATCTTCTGCATTCTATAATGAAAGTCAAAGTCTGTAAAATCAAGAAAAATCCATAAAAGCAGCACCAAAGTGCAGCGTACGAAATACAAAGTGTTCCGACTCAACTGAGGGCAACCACATTCGATTCCTAAATGGGTTGGAAGACAAATAGCAGAGATACTACTCGAACTTACAGGCATTATATACCTGAACTGTAACGATCAACTTTCAGAAAAACGAATTCTCCTGCGTGGTGAACTATACATTCACATAACAAAAACGACCACATGATCAGACAATCGTGAAATGCCATGGTTTAGAATGGATGACACTTGAAAGCACGTATTACTACAACTACAATTTTATCATGGTGTGCCATGTAGTAAAACAATATTGTCCTACTCTGATTACTCTGATGTTCAAGTGTGGCTATATGGGATTTTCCGCCAGATGACAATCATTTGCATGACCTCCATAAAGCTTATTTTGACGATACAAAATGGAATGATCCACATACGGACTTTAAGCAAGTGTAAGCTGGTAGGCCTTGGAGTTAACCTGATAGCGGTTGGTCGCATTATCTGCAAACCTGAGTCCCTCATTTTGACTTCCTTTCTGGAAGAAAATAATACTGGGTTAAAAATTGGTCCATTCGTCGACTTATCTTCAAGAGGCAGAGACTTCAGGGGTAAAAGACACTGAGGGTTGTCCCTCTTGCCTACAACGAAGCATCAACACCACGTACATTTCGCTCAGTGTAAGATTGATTAACTGGGACCAAGCATCACTCTCAAGAGTTGAGCCACAGTTGACCGAGCAACTTACAATCTTGGTTTTGCAGAAAAAGTTAGTTACGTTCCGCAATACCAAGGCCGTCAATTATTTTCCAAGTATCCTTAATGTACAGAAATAAAACACCTCTTTATTACACAAGGAAAAATTTGCCTACAGTTCATTTGGCCAGAGTGGGAATAAATACTACGTTATCAAAATTTGATCGAGGTACCAGGTGAGTGGCACGGCTATTCTATTACAATCCACTCACAGAAGAAACTACACAAGATACAATGAGCTTCTTATCTTGTTGGTGTCATATCCACTGATTCAGTTAAAAAGGATCAGAGAACAGAGGGAATTAAAATGCTTCCTGGACCAACGAAAATGGGGATCCAGCTACCAATGAACAAAGTGAGAAAACTCTTTTTGAGCTTAGCCACTTTGACTTCGAGCTTTGGCCCACACAAAATTTCGTGATAGTGGTGGCTAGATTCCCAGAAACTCAGCGCTGATAAAACTCCAGATCAAGTTATACTCGTGTGGAAGTGGAATATCTCCATCCATAGAAAAGGAGCGGGATCTTTCAAGATTCATACTCCTCCGGGATAATTGCCTCTCCAAGGTTCACATACTGCAGTTCCTCTCTCCACACCTGTAAATGGTTCACAAAAATGAATGAAATTTCGACTTTCCCTATCGTAGTACTTGCGATTATAAGCAGGGCTCACATAAAACTCATATCAAGTCGAAGTAAACAAAAGAACAAAGCAGAAATATTAATTTGACACTACCTCGTGACGGAACTCCACCCGCATGTGGGGTACATTGGTCTTGTGAATATCATTTCCCTCTGGCCCCCTTTTGAAGTAATTCTTTCCCACCCAGTGAGCCTGCAAAGGCAGTTTATACATTACAAACTGAATAAGCCGAAAGGAACACTTAAATGCTGACCCTACCAGCCAAAGTAGTGGCGCTTGTACCGACGCCCAAAGACTATGACCACTTCAATTCATCAAGAATTAGAACCAGCAACTATTGCTTCTCGGACTAAGCGTTTACAATCGGTGTCCAGAAATAAAAATCCAGTATCTAATTGAAAAGCAAATACGAACAACACGTCCTAAGTCCCGTTTCTAGACTCTAAGACATGTAAGAACTCCATGCGAAACACACCTACAAATAATTATGTTATTGCAGAAGGCACCTAGATGAATCAAGTCATGGTCAGAAAGTACCACATCTGAGAGAAAATGAAAGCGTTTCTACCTTCAGAGGATGGAAAAACCCAGACTGGTACACTGAATTTCGAGCAATTTCACAAAGATCACACGCACTTAGCTTCCAGACCTGCAAAAACGTTGCCATTAGCACCTGCCGTCGAGCTTACAGAGAGTACTTCTGGCTTAGAAGTTGGCAAAACTAGACCATGGTTCCACATCTGGCATCAAGATTTCCTACTAGCGGGTATCAAACTACTGATGCAAGAAAACCCCGTGCGGTACGAAGAAATCATCTTTAAGATTAACAGTTTACTGCCATAAGCCTCACCTGGGCAGCAATGCTGTACTCCTCAACCAACGGTTCTTTCGTAAGGTGAATCTGAAGTGGATCATCTGTTGAAAGAGATACATTCAACCCTCGAGCAAAAAACATGGGAAAAGGATTCCGGTGGTAATCGAGAAACAGAGAGTTGTTGCTCAGTGGAGACATAGAAAGTCCGATCTGCTTGCATCCAAGTGGCAGGACGTAAGTATGTCATGACCCATAAGACACTATCTAAATGCCAGGTTAAGTACATCACTTGACTGACTAATCAAATAAGAGAGCCCCTTCTTGAATCCTTCACATCATTCTTGTATTTCAAATCGGAAAGACAGGGAAACTTTCAAAAGTGTAAGATTCCAACTTCGAGTTGAGAACCAGTTCAACCTCAAATGTAAAGTCACTAACAATCAAACTTCAACCTACAATACTAGTGAAAATGAAGTTATGAAATTACCTGGGCCAGGTAGTAGAGATATTGCAGACCTGGAGACTTCCGCAGGTTGTTTCCATGAGCTATGTTGTGAGCGACAAGAAATGTGGCTGCCAGATGATCCAAGTCACCAGCCTAAACAGATAATATATCAGACTTCGAAACGTATATTCAAATATCTTCAAAATTATTCAAACTATTTAAAAAAGACCCTATGTTGTGAAACAATTCCAATGATATAATTTCCAGACAGGACAACAATCGTAGCCCAGGAACAAAACTTAGCCTCTCCACTGATGTTTCAAGCGAAGGAAAGGATATGCATCTCTTTACCAGAAATCAAAATAAATATTCAACACGGAAATTGATTACTTCAACCGAGGCTCACCTCTCCTGAGTGTGGTCGAAATTTGATGGTGGGCATGCCTTTACTCTCGCGCAACTGCGTTCACCAATAACTTGACGGGATTAAATCTAGAGGTCTGTCCTTCAAACGTGGAGCATAATGAATATACCACCCAAAAAAACGAAAACGTGTCCTTTCTAAGCTGGAAGTCCGTTGCTGCTATTGCTGCTATCAAAAAGTAATTTCATCGCTTTTCAAACAGGAGACCGCACCTACGCAGATTGAAAAAAGAAAATGGCATACACAAGTGCGAAGCACACAAAGAGAAAGGCCTGCGTTTCAAGGTGCTGAGAGCAAAAGAGAACCATTATTAAGTAGGTAAGTATTCATGGCCCCAAGATGACCATAACTGTAGACCCCTTATACTTTCAAAAGTGGCGTCGATTTCGTACCTACCCTGCAGACTCTATGAGCGACTTACTACAAACTCTATGTCTGAAACGTACGTGTACCAACTTACTTTGTTAAGTGTGTAGAGATTGGCGTAAGCATAATATGCCCAATATGAGTATGCGGGGTTAAAAGGGTTGTTCCATTGCTCAGGAGTTTGCATGTGTTTTGTTGGACGCCTTTCTGGTTTACTCTCGTCATCCACCATGTCAAAGCCTACGACCTGCATTTCATAGGTGATTCAGACCAGAGGTAGGGTCCCATAGGTAGTTTGACAAACAAACAAAGACGTCTCCACTTGGAATCCATGATAGATGATACAATAACGGTTAAAAACACTTCACTAACATTTATTATATGACTATTTTGATAATAGTCCCAATACAAACACTCCGTGGAAGCTTTAACACTATACTCACCTGCTTCAAGAAAACATGAAGCTGGGGATGAGATGCAGGATCCACTGTTACTTCAAATAGTGGTAAAAAGACATTGTCGAGAAGTGTTTGGAATGATGTCACGATTCCCATATCTTTGTACACATTGTACAAGCGTGGCAGCTGCATCATGCAAAGGAAGACCATTTAAGTCCTTATTTTCAGCAAGAAAACATGATATAACCAAAACATATGAAACTGGCTACCAACGAACCACTGCCAAAACCGATCTCCAACTATAAAACACTAATCTTTTTGTTAAAAAAAAAAATTACTACAACAAGTGCATATATTCTCACCTGGATGAGCCACATAACATTTTCGCTATATAGCTCATTATTGACAATCCAGCTTGCCAACTGGTCCCATTCACTTTGCTTCCTTCCATATATGGATATCCTGTACTCTGCCATCTGCCGAAAGGAAAATATGTACAGAGCATAATCTTGAGATACTACAAAAACTACAAAGATCGTTGTTGCTGCAATAAAAATTCTCCAAGAAAAAGTTAGTCTACGTCATGGTGCTTTTATGTCTGTCACATCTCGAAAAAGGAAGAAACCTCGGTCGACAGCCCAAAAGATGACATCTATGTTTCAGGTGGCAATGTGAATTAGACATAAGATTATGAGACCCTCACTTGATATTTACTGGCTTGAAGATCGGAAAACACTTGCTTCGTAAGTTCAGCCAAGAATCGTCCTGTACAGTTTGGGCATATTTAGTACCACCAGTGATTACAAGAGAACAACCATACCGGGCAAAAGTTTGACATACACTTTCCACTTGTGAAAAAATATGTGTCGTTCAAATGCCTACAGTATAATCCTTCGGACCAAAACCGATGACTTGCCTTGGATAAGATTGTCTTGTTTCAAAAAGATCTCTCTCAGCCTACTTTGACCGCAGGGATTGTACTTCAAGTTGAACTTGTCGAACCGGTGGAAAGTATTCTTGTCCGCATGAACATCGAGCAGATCCACATTCAAATCGTATCTGCTTGCATTCCTCAGAAATTAAGCTTTTGACGAGTGCTTGCAGTTCAGAAACTACTTCTCAAAACACAATCAAGCACAGTAAACGACTTGAGCTGGTTGAATTCATGACTACTCATACGATTCCTTGAAAGGTATCTGAGGAAACTTACCCTGTTAAGTCCAGACTCTCGAAAACTTCCCTGAGAGTCAAGTACTTCCCATCGCGAAATATTACCACCTGTTTCAATAGTCCACGACATCATCATTTATGAAACAACAAAGACGTGATCAAGTATCTGGGAATGACATGTCCAGTTCTCAAAAGGAGAAATTAAGTTTTCCTGAAATAGGAGAAGACTGTCACAACCTGAAAATGAGGTTCCAAACCAAAGCGGCAAATTGCTAGCGGTAGATTTGTAAAAAAATGACCTAGGTTCTTTATGAACACCTAAGTGAATCAACTTCCAAATACATAGTTGACACTAAAATTTACGTAAGAAGGAAACGTACTTCATCTGGTTCTTTGCGAAGCTTGGACTTGATGAAGCGCAAAAGATGCTTCTGGTTCATGCAAGAAGAATGGTGGACATGGGTGTCGACTTTTCTAACATTGTACAGATCTCTATGAGGAGCACTCTTCTGAGCAAGGAACTCCCGATCAGCATTAAGCATGAGGTGAAGGCTGAATTTCTGTGATCAAAGACCAACAGGACACATGCTTCAGTAAAAGATGCCAACCTTACCACTGTAGGCAGCTACAGAATCTCATTCAGCCCGTGGATGTCACCCAAGCCAGATAATTGATAAAGATAAACAAATCTTTCGCTGTTCCCCGGCTAAGTGAAGTCCAGCAGCAGATCTCTTGAGTGAAAGCAACACATCCGCTACACAACAAAACCACCCCGGAATCACACTAAACCTCGCAATCTGAGCAGACAATCTTGATTCAAAACAAACTTCAAGTTACAAGATCAGTTGCAAACACAATTGTACAAGCCCATAAATTGCCGTCTTCAAAGATAACAGAACCGACCTGTTCCAACAACCGCAGGCGATGGTGACATAGAGTACGAACGTTTCCTAGTGAAATAATTCTCAGAATGCGATGCATGTCTGTGAAAAAACTTGTGGCATCTAGAACTGGGTAGAGCTCTTCTTCCGCTGCAGTAAAGAGACCACATTTGCAGGTGTCATGGACTGGGAGCGAAAGTTGAAAACAACATCATCAACTCTGTCCACTTTTGCACCAGCTTTTTCGCTGATTTTAAGATAAAGAGGCAAAGAAAATTTGTAGCCGATTCAGTAGTAACTAGCATACCATGAGCTGACTTTATTGCCCATTTGATGGTGCTGGGAAATGTTCCCTCAGAATGATCACATCATCCTTAAGCCTCACGTAGCTTGGTAAGATTATACAAAAATGCACTATTTATACCGAGCACATTTCTTTATTCAGCGACGCCTACGAAGCTCAGCTTATGAACTATTTGTTTCTATTCAACATCTCATTGACCTAATCCTAACGCTAAGCAGTGGAGTTGGGTGAGTAATCCTGGAATTGTGAATGTTCACAATGAATACATGTAGAATAAGATCAAGAGGTAGAGCTTGTCTGGAGAAACTCACCTGCCTCATGGGGATAAACACGGACAACACCATCGACCATTTTGAATGTGTGCTGCTCGACACAAACAGAGGATAACCGTACACCTTATAAATGATTGGCTCTCGCAAGTTAAACTGCAATGATAAATGTAGAGCAGGACATGCGAAGACTATGAACACTATAAGATTGACCGTGTCTATCCTATCCGACAACAGGCATAATTGACTTCTCTTGCATATTCCAAGTCCAAGTTGATTGACCTAAGGTTTTAAAGTATATTGTCACATGATAATCATAATATCATAATTCACATGTCCAACCCCAGCTGAGCAAACCTATTAGTCATGATCAAGCCTGACATACCATTGATGCTGGTTCAGGTTGGTAATTGAAGGGATCGAGATTTGGCTTGGGTGTACTAGGGTCTGTAATTTCCTCCTTCTCCCATGGATGTTCGCGCTCTCGGAAGACATACTTGTCCCGGAGTTTAAGACACTCCTGCATTAAAAGACACACTTCCTCCTCTTCATCTGACGGTGCCTCTGTCATGATACCAAACGACATATAAAAGTGAAAAAAAATGAGAATATACAAAGCCCGGATTGACGTAGATTGTACCCAACTTAATTTTCGACCCCAACAAACATAACGGACTTCATTAGGGGGTTGAAAAGGGGTGTCACTGTACCTAAAGGTGAAACATTCAAGCGGACAAAGGTTTCTTGCTCAGGTATCTTCCTCAAAATATCGGCTGCCACTGGATCAGGGGCATGCATTCCGTGAAGTTCTCCAGGTATACTGTGAGATCTGATGATGGTTGCGGCAGTAGCTTTTTCACTACCAGGAGACTTTGGCTTCACATTTTCCTCCTACTTTCCAAACGCATTTGCGATTAGTCGAATATTTCGGCAGGTAAAGAATAAGCACAAGATGACAACTATGGCAACATATCTATGAACATATATATACGCTCTTTCAAGGTGTACGATGAATGCACTAGCTATTTTCTCTAAGTCGAAAAAAATTTTTAGTCTAAAAGTCTAAATTCTCTAAGCCTAAAAGTCTAAATTCTCTAAGTCTAAAAGTCTAAACTGCAAAAATTCTCACCAATTCATTCTCAACGACTCCATCGGCAGGTGCCAGTGTCCCAATCTCGCCTTCCTCATCGGCCATCATAAAGTTTGAGTCGTCATCATTGTGCAAAACGTGATCTTCCTCGTCTGAACCCTCCATGCTTTCAAAAACACCACCTCCAACCGGAGACCGAGGTGTGGTAGGTCTGATAACAGCAACGGGACGTTGAACACCAGAGGAGCTGCGTTTCCCGGGAGTACTCTGACCTATACATACAAGAGTGAAGTGATAACGATATCCGAAGAAACAGGGGATAAAGATTGGCGAAATTTATTAATAAACAAAGGGGTTAACATGCAGGATTTCAGAAACATAATGCACGGCATCTACTCCTAAACTTCAGTGCATCAAAACAGTCAACCAGCAGGAAAGACCGATGTAAGATTCTTGTTAAAGACTGCGTTGAAAATGTGACCTTCATACAGAGAGAGAATCTATTAGAACTTCACAGTTTGACAATTAGTATACGCTTGAATCATCGATGTCGCAACAGGTTTCATGTTAATAGGCTCGTTGGTAGAATGTTGTCAGGATATCATGTTGTGGCCAGAATTCACTATGATATCCTGACAACATTGGTGGGGGACTGTGATCTACCCGGCAAGAGGTGGAGACGACCTCGTTCTTCTCTGGAATGTAAGCGTCAAGTTCTATTCGTAAATTAGCTAGTAGTAACTGTTGGAATTTTCAGTACATTACTCGTTGCAACAACCAGCAGCTAATGACCAACAAGAAGGAAGAATTCTCCGTAATTTATCGTCTGAGTGCCAGAAGCTGAAAATGGACAAGAAATGACGTTACTGCGCGGTGGATTCAGGTAAATGACGTAAACTTGAACATTGTTGCATACTTGCAAAGTGTTCGTGATCATGAGGCAAGCTCGGGACCAGCACAATAGTTCATTATTCGCGAGATACAGTTGTCTTCGATGCCGAATAAGAGCCAATTTCCGAAGAGTTTGCCCAACGGTAGAAATCTTGCAAAAGGCTCGACAGGGAACCATGTCCTAGCCCTTCACAGGATGTTGCAGTCTGAAGGGCTCCCAGTCAAAGAAGGAGAAAGCTTACATCAGTATACATACCATCACGACGAGTCTGAACTCTGGGGAGTCCAGGGGGAATGGCACTCATTGCCGCAAAGGATGGCTGAGAATCTGATCTCTCCATGGACGGAGACCTGGTTTTATTGTCCGATTTGCTATTGTCAATTCCATTAGCAAAGGATGACATTTCCGGAAGGGAGTTGGAACTTCCTAGCACGGAGTCTTTAGTAATCTTGTCCGAGAGACGCCGATTGCGAGAATTGCTTCTGTTCTTATATTTCCGCCTTTCCACGGTTTCAATATCGAGCCTCGCAAGCATTTCATCCAGCGCTCGCTTGTGCAGCCAAAAGGCAGAGGCAGCAGCGACACTGGCTCCGACCATAGCGGCCAAGCACAATGAGAACCAAGCCTTGGTACTGTGATCCTCCATAATTTCTCTCAGACCTCGTCCTGCAGCACGACCAAATAATCCCTCGACTCACTCCCGAGCCTCACTCCAACCCCCTGCTCCTGCTCCACACAAAAGGCCTCCAGGCTTCCTGCTCTCGACTCGCATCACTCTCCAACACAACCTCGATCCTCCCCTCTACCTCCACCGTCGAATTGCCGCCCTTCTCATCGCACCAATTTTCCCTTCTCCCCCCGCCGCGAACACCCATTCCCTCCGTCCATCCCCGACTCCATCAGCTCCTCTCCCCTCCCCTCCTCTCTACTTCCACCACTCCCTTCCAGACCTAAACCTCCCTCCGCCCAATTCCAACTCCGCAATCGCGTCCCCAAATGTGAAAACCTCGCGCAGGTGCTCGTCTGCTCCTCCTCCTCCTCCTCCTCGTGGCCCTCCTGCTGCTGCTGCTGCTCCTCCTCCTCCGTCTGAAGCTGCTCGATCGGCACCGAGGGAAGTGTCGTCTCCTGCACTCGACTCCTCCCGAAGGACTACTTGAGGAGCAGTGGGCGATGCAATGAACGTTCAACGGAAGTGCAGGAGCGGAGCGCATGAGGAGGGGCGTCGGAACGCATCATCCCCATCATCATTCCTCGCCCCATGCTCGCATCTCATACATTCATCATCATCCCCATGCGGAATGTTCCGTCGCCGTGTATTACTGCATTGTCTCATTCTCTCTTTCCCGGCGGTCCCTCGCTCGACACTTCTCTAGATCTAGAGGCCCTCGTCCAGCTTTGTCTGGGGCGGTCCGCTGCGGCCCGATCCTCTTCGCCACGTCAGCGTGCCGATGTTTCTCTCTTCCGGGGGAGGAGCGTGTTCGCCGCCTCCAAGTCTAGCGAGGGAAACGCCACGGTGGCGTTTTTATTGCCCCCACATCCCCCCGGGGTCCCGCTCGGGGATTTTCTCACGCCGGTGTGAAAAGAGTCTCTCCCTTGCCGACATTATGAAGCTCTCTCTCTCGTCCTCGTCCTCCTCGTCGCACTGAGGGAAAAGATGCGTATGATGATGATGGTGGCGACATGGATCGCGGTCCGGGAAATATCGCGGGGATATGCCCGCGCGCGCCGTTGGATCGTCGACCTTATCTGCCCGATGTCCGGAGTCCGGACAGCATGGTAGCTACATCGTAGGCTAGGCCTCCCGCTGCCCACCTATAAAAAGTAACTGAAGTTACCACTTTCATCGAAGGCATCTTCACCCGAGCCGTCGATCCTCCGCATCTGAGCGGCTCCTCTCCGAGGCTTCCACTTCTGTGCTGCATTCATTTGGCCAGGACAAGTGACGAGTTCTGGTTGATTCTGAACTCTTCGCAGACTCGACTATGGCGTACATCCCTTTCTGTGCAGGGCGAGATTCATGTTTTTTAATCTCTCTCTCGTGTAAAAGGCTGCACTGCTTCACGAGTTGTTGCAGAATCTCCTGGACAATTCGCCGCCTCGTGGATCCAGAATACTCTTTCTTTTGCTTTACGTACATCTAACTTCCCTTGTAGTTATGGGTCAGATTGACCTCCCTACGGTGGCAAAAATCGAACCTCGAAGACCTGTCTGGGCATATATCCATCTTGCTATTAATGGTATGTGAATGACTTCCATAATTTTTTGACACTATGTGGTTCGAATATTCGCGTGTCTTGCTCCCGTATGTTGTCGTGATTTGCTAGAGAGTCACGGATTGGAGTTCGTGTCAAGGATATTACAATATATCATATACAGTTCAGTGAATCCAGAAATAGGGAGCGGAGATTGGGCCTCATACAGTAGTTGCAGATTGCGACCCCGGATACCCAAACCCATGGAGAGTTGCGTACAACCGTGATTCGCAACTACCGTCCAGAATTGTGGGACTTGTGCAGGATTGATGAGGGATAGCTACTAGTAGGGGCTGAACGTGTGTTTCGACGGCTTCAGTGCCAATAGAACAGTTCCAGATCTATCGTTTAGTTTACCATTAGATTCTTATTCAAACATCGTCATCACTGTCCAGTCTTTCTTATACTCAGGATCGCCTAGGAAGAATTTGCTCGTTGTATGTAGTAATGATACTGAAGACACTTTATCTCCTTTCGTTGCTTTGTATTGAGAAGTTAAAGTTAATGTAACGAAAATGAAAATTTTGCTGCTCCTCCATCCATGGAAACACCCCCTTACTGAGACATCGAGGCATATTCCTTACTAGAGAATGCGCCTACAGAAAAGCGTAGGCTTGGATGTTGTCCTTGAATATTTATTTTTAATGAATATTCTGACTCATTTAAACATGAGAATCATTTCTTGAAGCTATGATATCCGTGTGCTTTGGGAATCAAATTGTTCATAAGGAAATGTGGTCATAACGGGTTTTCCTGTAGGAGGTTGTTAGAGTGTAGTCAACCGCATTGTTACCGCAACAATATCACTGACACATGGGACTTCATCATAATCCGACTGCAAAGATATTTTAGATGGAGTAGGTGTGGCTTGAGCACATAATCCTTTTTTAAGTATAAGCCAGTCATCACAGTAACCGATCCTTGGAAGAGGACAGACTAGATATTTGAATTTTTTGATTAATGGACTTGTTTTGGATTATTTGATAATACAAATAAAACATCGGAACGAGAAAGAGGGAAGACAAAATTATCATATCAATTTCGTATTAGACGATGAAGAAATAGATGTTTATTTTGATTTATGGTGGAGGATGAGAATACTTCGCATTAAATCGATAGAAAAAGAGGAAGATAATGAACTAGTATCTTCTTACTAATGCTAGGCCATCTTACCTTTCGGGGCCCACGAGTCCAGATCAAGTGCAGCATGCAACTTGTCCCATTTGCTAGTTCTGGTGAATTATTGCGCAATCATGATTGCCTTACACTTTAGACAGAGTTCTTGTACTGTACCGTGAACATTCACTAATTCTGTCACATATTTGAAACAAGTTGCACTTTTACCGTATGATGAATATATCGAGGGACAAAGTGAAGTATTTGATCACCATTACATTTTGCAACAGACTTGTTCTTCTTACATGATGATGATTCAGGTGAACGCATCCATCAAGACCAATTTGATTCATTGCCTTTTCGTGTTGATATTCTTCATGCGTTAAGTTACTTTTTCAATTATTCATCACCCCTCTTAAAGTGCCACCGAAGAAAAAAAGGCTTGAAGTCAGAAGTGAGAATAATGAAACAACCAATTTGGAGAGTTGCGGTTGAAAGGCGGGAGCCGGGACGATTAGGGACTACGGAGGAGGCTGGCGATGGCGGAGCTTTGTGCAGCAGCGGCGCAACGAGGGCTAGCTCGTTTTCTCTACTCTGCTCCTCTTTGCTGACTTTCTACTTCTCAGATTCTTGTTCACCCTCCCACTCTAGTTCTTTTGAGAGGCTTTTTGACAGTTTTCACCCATTATTGGGGACGTTCATGCTAGGGTTTGGCACGATGGCCGCGTCGAGTACGACTTACATAGATGCACTAGGGTGTCAGACAAAACAGGGTACAGGTGCACAGGAGACGATGTCAGGCGGGCTCCCCATTCTACGAGCTGCCTTTGACAGACCTCCGTTCGATCGAGGAACTATCAACCCATTTCAACAAGAACAAGGAGAAACTCTACCGCACGGTTCTTTAAGGAATCACCAGTGGCTCCTAGTCAAACCGCCGCCGACGCTCAATCTCGATCCGGCCTCCCAAGCAACGGTAGCCAAAGAGATTTTACTCCTCTCAGCACACGTGGTTCTCTCATGCGTTGTGGATGGGAACCTGTAGGGCTTGGCCCTTACGGCATGATGGGATTCGATGCATGAGCTCGCGGCACTCGGGGGCATTGTTTCACCGGCAACTCAACTCCAACTTTATATATGTTGGAATTGACATTCAAGATACAACCAATCGGTTACTTACGATAGCGTTTCATCATTTCAATGGGGCACAATTATCTACCAGCGATGGGTTTGAGGGTTCAATCCGCGCATTACTTTGAATCTCCGGTGGCCAATGTGGATCTCCTTTCCTGAAATTCCACTAGAGTATCAACAATCCGTTCGCCTGATTCCCGAACAAGTGGGACTAGTAGTAGCAGTCCACGAGGGGGATGGCGGAATCTCGATTCCACGATTCTGTGTGAAAATTGATATGTGCCAAGGACGGACGTCCACTGTGGTGTGGTTTACTGAAGTAGGGGACAATGTCATGATTCCGGTTATATACGACGCCTTCGAGCTCACATGTACATTGTACGGGCACCACCAGCATTATGTTTCACAATGTCAGCGGGCGCGACGTGACGCCCAGCCACAACAACCCAGTCCCACACTTCCACCTCGAGACACTCATGAAGTGTCGGCTCAACACCGCAGTCCTCAGCACGGTCAATGCCATCGTCGTCAAAATTGTTCGAGGAAATACTCTCCGTGGCATAACCCGGCCCCCATTCAAGATGCTGATGGATTTATTGAAGCGACCCGACGTCGTCGTCCTACACTCTTCGATGCTTCCCCATCTCAGGTTCCGCCAAAAGCAATCCAGGAGACCTTGCCTGCAAAGGTATTGATTCCCGTCACGAGAAGGAATGCACAACCTCCAACTGCAGCCACGAAACCAACTCACTCTCAGTTGGTACATTCACAGGGTTCACGTACACATTCGACTCCGGAGTCTGCTCCTCCACGGGCACACTCGCGACTATCTTGATGGCATATTACTCCCTCAAAGTCGGTGACCGTCATCACTCCCAGTGCAGCTCCATCGGTACATCTCGTGCTTAGTTTTGATCACACGGAACTAGAGCCATCGAAGAAATAATGCTTGTGAGATTCCTCCTGTGATGGAGGAATCTCACGAGCATTATCCTGACCAAAACGATCCATTGCCTCACACAGCCAGGTTCGGGACCCATTATTCTAATGGAGAATGTCGAGTGATGCCCGACCTTGAATGGAACGGATGGTAGCGAGTTTAGAGAACTCAAAAACATTTCGGCGTAGGACGGACGATGACATACGACTCACGACATCCCTTGACACCACGATGTCACAGGCTATGGACGTCGACTTAGAAGCCGGCTCCCCCCTGCGGTTGTGCCAAGTACGACACTCTCAGACTCGACAGGCTCTCCAACTCTTGAGTCTCACACTTGCCAAGCCGCAACACTACACCAACCTGGCACTTTGCCAGTCATCGGGACGGCCAGCCCTTGGACGAGTGCCGCAGCACCTCAACTTACTTCACCTAGTCCAGCCCCCAGGCTCATACACTCTCCTGAAACAGGAAGTGAGGCTGATCATTTGAGGACGCAAGTATGAATCTCCCTCCAGTTCCGGCCTCCCCGACCAGTGTTGATAGAAAGAATTCCATCCCAGTTTTGGCACCATCTTTTGGACATATGTCAGACATCGTCGAAAACCTTTTGATCGACGATACCTCAGTTCTCTCAATTATCAGTTTCCATGCTCGCTCAAGCAACAAAGTCGATCTTCATTTGACCACGA